GAGGGCTGCGTCGTGGGATTGATTTGCATCCTCCGGCTCATTTGCCTCCGGGTCGTGTCCTGCGGGATCTCGCCTTCCACTCTCTCTCTCTCTTTCTTTCCATTTTCTTCTCTCCTTTTCCAGCAATCTCTCGAAACTTATCTCCGAATGCGTGTATAATATTGGTGTTTGTCCTCCACGTTGCAAGGAGACCATCATCGGGGGAGAGAAAGAGGGGTCGATGAAATAGAGATGGAATAGAGTGGACGTTTATCGTGGCCTTTCGAATTAAAGGTTCGATAAGACGCGAAGAAGAATCCGTTCCCGATGAAATTTCCCGCAATTTCCATTGGAGGAGGGGAGGAGGTGGAGTCGTTGGCCAGGCGCACCTTGCGGAAATTCGACTGGGACGGGACGGAACAGGCGACCCGGAATTGAATGGGGAAGGGAGTAAAGAGAGGGAGGGCGGAGAAGAAGAAGCGAAGGCAGCCACGACACGCCGGATAAACCAACAACCGAGCGTTCGCTGGGGACGGTAAACTAATTTGCAATTTATACCCAGGACGGAGAACGATCTTCGTCTCTTTGCTCGACGCCGTGTCTCGCCACCCACCCGATATCAAACAACACTCCGCACACGCTCGTCCGTGTTTTTCCGCGAGGGAAGAGGAACGATCCTCCCTGATAATCGGGAGGAGGATTTTCGAAAAATTCCTTTCCCTATCTTTCCCTCCTTTCCCAATTCGATTCCATCGAACGTTGGTTCGTTCACCGATCTCGTTCCGATACGAGTCGAATCTCGAGTTGCTCGAAGTTGGAATAAATCGAGTCGAAGACGCAAAGTTCAACGAACGTTTCTCTCGTTAATTACTCAAAAACGTCGCCGTCGCCGAAGAGAAACCTGTCTCTTCCTTCCCGTTCTATTTTCAACGCGATCCAAATTTCGCTTATTCGAACTCGTTACTCGAACCGGTGCTGGCTCCCGGAATAAATAAACGAGGGATCGTTTCGTTCGCGAGAGATACGTCTCGAGTTTGTAAAATTCCGTGCCGATATCGTTGGACCGTGATATCGTGAAAATCGTGAACGAGAAATGGGAACGGGGAAGGAATGGAGGAGGAAGGCGTATACTCTTATTTCTTTCACGCGTTGAACCATCCGTTTTCCGTGAACTTTTGCGAAAGAGAGGAAAAAAATTAGAATACGAACGGGTGGATGTATTTTGACAAGAAGAGGGAATCCTCGAGAGAACGGAAAAGAACCTTGGATGAAATTAACCGCGTGTATATATTCTCGTTCGTTTCTAGAGAAAGAAGTATCGATCTATCCTTATAGATTAGATAGAACGCGTTACTATTCGGATTCGAAGGAAACAAACTTGGAATCGAATGTTGAAAAGTTTGACCACGGTATTTGATAATAGCCAATTCGAAGAATCTATCTATCTAACGCTCGACTCGATCGAGAGTTTACGTTCAAATTTCATCGTACGTTTGATTTCTGAAAAAAAAAAGAAAACGATCAACCCTTGCTAAGGTTAAACCACGTAACGAAGGAACGGGACTATTTCCAAGAAAAACAACGGTCGAGGCGAGAGAGAGAGAGAGAGAGAAAATTGAGAAAAACTCTTATCTTACGCTCGACTTCGTGTTCCGTGAATTAATCTTGGGATTTCGCCTCGACAGGTGGCTGGTCGCGGATGGGATCAGCGCAGCGCGTCGATTCGATCGATCCACGGCCGATTCGAGCCGAGACGACACGCGTCTCTCTCTCTCTCTCGATAGATTTTTATAATCGATCTCTCGCGGTCGAGGTCGGTGACACGTTTATGAAAAAAAAAGGAAAAAAAACCAAAGTCGGCATTCCCCGGCAATTGCCGCCTGTTTCTTACGTTTCTCGCGAAAAACAACAAGTGCTCTCTTGGAAATACGCCCCCGACGCGATACCCAACGGTCGACCTTATTTTCTTCGTGAAAAGTCGTCGAGACCGTGGCGCCACTAATTAGAATGCATATTCCGACTAACCGTAATTGTAGGACGCGCAATGCCGCGCCATAATTTCATTACGTCTTAATTAACATGGCGGCACGCGCGCGGGGCTTAAGGATCCACGAAATATCATCGGGGACACCGCCTCCACGGTTCATCCCTTTCCTCGCTTCTCTCCCAAGACGAAGGAAAAAACGCCTTTTTAATCGATCCACTTATCGTTTTTATTATTATTAATCATCGCGGCAAAATTCTACTAATAATTTCCGCTCGAATTTCCGAATTTATAGGAAATCGAAGGAATAGAAGAAGACGCACTCGATACACGATCGAGGTTAAACGCCGTCGAAAATTTTGCACGGAGCAAAGAATAGAATTCTTCCTCCTCCTTTCTTCGTATCTTGGACGATAAGCTCGACGGGAAACTCTCTTCTTTAAAAACGATTCCAGTTTTATACCGTTACGACTTTCCATTCCTGAGATATCATCGCTTTAAAGCGGAGCGGATAATGTTTAACGCGTTTTAATATCACCTCTCGCGATCGAATATCTCCCTCGTACCGGGATACCACTGACCTCCTATTCCACTCTCGCCGCTTAAACAGGATGCTCGGCCAAACATTAATTCAACCATACTATTTTCCCTACGAAATATTACGATTACGCGTGTATACACACATATATCGAAACAATACCGCATTATTACTCGGCTATTCCCGACTTTATATTTCGAATCTCTGCGATTCGATATCTTCCAAATATATAACGCAGCGAGACGCGTAAACTCTTGGATTCCTTCCATCCAAGTCTTCCCTCCGTGAATCGTGGTTAATCGAGAGATTCGTTAACGAAGAGATTCGGCGAAACCCATTCGGTTCCCCGAAACTTTGATTCCGCCGTTAACTGCTAGACTCGCGCGCAATTACCGGTCGAACCCGAAGAGAGGAAGAGAAAGAGAGAGAGAGAGAGAGAGAAGCACAGAGTCTGCGATGACCGCGCGGAAACGTTATCGTATTCGGGGCGAAGAGAGGGAAAGATTGGAACGCAAATTCGGTCTAGACTACCACCCGGGTGGGTGTCTAAACTGGCTCAAGGCAACGGGGCCAAGGGGGAGGGGATGAAGCTCACTCGGTGGAAACTGTCGGTACTGGTCGGTTCGCGGAACGTGAAATCGGGAAGGGAGATGGGGGGCGAGTCGGTATCGAGATATCTCGCGGGAGATTGTACGCGCGTCGGACGGAGGCGGGTATCTTTTTTCAGGCGAGAGAGGAGGAGGAGGAGGAGGAGGATTGCGCTTTCCCGCTCGGATTGCGGTCCACGATATTGGGAGTATAAATAAATAAAGCGCGAGGAGAAGCGAAAAAGATATCGAGATTCGTAGCTCCAAGGGATTACCCCGATCCATCCCACCCTTTTCTCTTGCTCTTATTTTTAATCTTATTTACCGTCCCGTTCGGACGGTAAGCGTAAACTCGATACGTTATTGGCTGGCATCTTATCGATGTCTTTACGACCTCTTCTCGACCGGTTCCCCTTACCGTAAATAAACAGAGAAAAATCGTTGGAAAACCGTCCTCGCGCGTCCCTTCCCTCCCACCTTCGAATCCGATTCCGTCCCACGGACGATCGCCAGTGGAT